AAGACATAATCTGCTTGAGGAGGAAAGATGGCTGATCTCTCAAAGGAGAAGGGCCAGGAGCCTGTTCCTCAATGGGCTTTTATTGGGTTCATTTTGCACAGGAATACAGGTAAAGCTCATTAATCATCATCAGGCAGTAAGGATCAAATAATAGATAACATACAAAGAATTATGAGGGCTTATTCTGAATCAGGGTCAGTTAGCTAAAGGGCTATAAAACTTTGGGAAACAAACTCATTTCATGCTTGGACCCTTATCAGAAAATTGAGGACATTCTTAGCAAAGCAAGTTTCACAGGATTTTATGTATTCTTTCTTAGGCCTGATCGCCCCAGGGAACCTGCCCTTTCCAGCGCAGGACTACACCGCCCTCTGTCATTGTTCCAGGCCTAAGACAGGCAGGGGAAGTAAGGCAGCCAAGAGATTAGGAGACTTCTTGCAGACAGAATGAGGACTCAGGCTATGTCAAAACCTAGGGGCAAGGGTCCATCACCCCCTTTTTCTATAGCCCCCCAAGTCCTTCCCTGGGGGCCCCTTCATAACCATGCCGGTCTTAGATCATCCCTCCCTTGAGGAATCTTACTCATCATTGACTACCTGGTCAGGCTCGGGCCAAGCAGGGTGAAGTAAAGGGGGCAGGGGCAGCAGCCCTGCCACGGAGATAAGGTTTGTCTCAGTGGTTTGTGGTCCCAAGGTCTCTCACTCAGCCTTAGTCATGGGGGTTACAGCTTCCAAAAACAGGCAGGGTGGTTCCCAACAGATTAGAATGACTCAATATTGTAATGTCAATTCTCCCCAAATTGAACTCTACATTCAAAAAGGTCCCAAAAGGCTTTTTTTTTGTAGAAATTGACAGTCTGATTCTAAAGTTGATATAAAATTCAAAAGAATCTGGAATAGCCAAAACATTTTTTTTTAAAGAACAGAGTTGGACAACTCAACTATCTGATTTCAAGATTTACTATAATGCAACTGTAATCAACACTGTATGGTAATGACGTGAGGGTAGACAGATTAATGCAACAGTATAAAGTCCAGGGACCCACTGACATACATGGTTAATTGATTTTTGACAAAAATGCCAAGGTAATTCAGTAAAAAATATATATATATATATATATATATATATATATATATATATATATAGTCTTTTTCCAAAAATGGTGTTGGAAAAACTGGTTGTCCATTTAGGGTGGGGGAGAAATTAACCTTATCCTTGCCTAATGCCATCACAATAATTAACTTTAAATGGATTACTGATGGAAAAGTAAAAGCTAAAACTACAAGATTTCTAGAAGAAAATTAGGAGAAAACTTTCACAACCTTAGATTAGGCAAAGATTTCTTAAAACATCAAAAGCATAAGCTATAAAAGAAAAACAGTGTTGGACTTCACTGAATTTTTTAATTTCTGCTCTTTAAAAGGTACCATTTCTAAAATGAAAAGCTATAGAAAATGAAAATCTATTATATATATTTATATATATTTGACACAAAACAGGTATCCAAGATATATAAAGAACCACTACAACTCAGTAAGAACAACCCAATTTAAAAATGGAAAATGTATTTGAACAGGCATTTTTCAAAAGAAGATATACAGATGACTAATAAGCACTTGAAAAGATACTCGACATCACTCATCATCAGATAAAAACCAGAAGATCTTCTGGCCAAGATGGAGTTGTACATAAATACACTTTGCCTCCTCACACAACCAAAAGAAGGAAAACAAATTTAAAAACAAAAACAACCAGAAATGCTAGAAAATTGAACGATATGGAAGTCCAACAATCAAGGAGTTACAGAAGAAACATCCATCCGGACTGCTCCACCCTGGTGAATATGTAAAGCTCCACCCTTCCAATGTAACAGGTGTGTCTCAACAAAGAGATATGGCCCAAATGAAAGAACACATCAAAACTCAAAAAAACCACTCAAGTGATGAAGAAATAGCCAACATATTTCTTCTATATGGGAGAACGTATTTGCCAATGATACCTCGGACAAGGGTTCAATCTCCAAAATATATAAAGAATTCATTTGACTCAACACCAGGAAGACAAACAATCCAATTAAAAATGGGCAAAGGACATGAGTAGACACTTCTCAAGGAGGGTATACAGAAGGTCCAGAGACATGAAAAGATGCTCAGCATCACTAGCCATCAGAGAGATGCAAGTTAAAACCACAATGAGATGTCACCTCAAACCAGTCAGAATGGGTATCATCAACAAACAACTAGTGCTGGCAAGGATGTGGAGAAAAGGGAATCCAAGTGCACTGTTGGTGGGAATGCAGACTGGTGCAGCCACTGTGGAGAGCAGTGTCAAGTTACCTCAAAAAATTAAAAAATGGAACTGCCTTTTGACCCAGTGATTGTACTGCTGGGATTATACCCTAAGGATCCCAAAACACCAATTCAAAACAACTTACACACCCCCTGTGTTCATAGCACTATTTATAATAGTCAAGTGCTGTAAACAGCCTATGTGTCCATCAGTAGGTGAGTAGATAAAACAACAGTGGTACATTTATACAATGGAATACTATACAGCACAAAAAAGAAGGAATTGCTTTTTGTAAAGGCATGGATAGAACTGGAGAATGTTATGCTAAGTGAAATAAAGCAGTCGATGAAAGACAAATACCATATAATCTCACTTATAAGAGGAATCCAATGAACAAAATAAACTAACAAGCAAAATAGAACCAGAGGCATGGAAACATGGGGCAGATTGGCAGCAGCCAAAGAAAAGTGGGTAGGGGAATAACAGTGGAAAGAAGGGGAAGGGATTAGTCATAGAACATGTATGAGTGACCCATGGGCATGGACAACAGTGTGGGGACTGACTGTGGGAGTGGGGGATGGGCTGGGCACAGAAGGGCAAAGGGGGGAAATTGGGACAACTGTAATAGAATAACAATAATAAACAAATAAATAAAAGGGAAGGAAGAAAGAAAAAAGAATAGCTAAAATTAGGAAGACTGGCCCTGGCTGGTGTGGCTCAGTGCATTAAGTGTTGGCCTACGAACCAAAGGGTTGCCAGTTCGATTCCCAGTCAGGGGACATGCCTGGGTTGTGGGCTGGGTCCCCAGTAGGGGGTGGTCAAGAGGCAGCCACACATTGATTTTTCTTTCCCTCCCTTCCCCCTCTCTAAAAATAAATAAATAAAATCTTTAAGAATAAATAAATAAAATTAGGAAGACTGGCAATTCCAAGTGTTGAAGATTTAGAACAACTGGAATTCTCAAATCTTGCCAGTAGAAATTCAGAATGTACAGGAAGGTAGTTTCATAGTTTCACATAAAGCTTAGTGTGTGCTTATGAAATGATCCAGCAATTCCACCCCCAGGTATTTATCCAAGAAAAACTAAAACACGGCCCATGCCAAGACTTGCTTTCAAATGTTTATAGCATTTTTACCTAGAACAATCTAAATCTGGATTACCCAAATATCCATCAACAGGTGCATCAATCAGGCATGTATTACAAGGAATTGGTTTATGCAATGAGCCAATCAGGGCTGGTTAGGCAAGTCTGAAATCCACAGGGCAGGTCATCAGAAAGCTCTCTGGCAGGAGCTGAAGCTGCAGTCCACAGAACTCAGTTCTGCTCTTATGGCCTTTGAACTGATTGAATCAGGCCCAATATTTGCATAAAGGCAACTGATTGTAGGTATTAAGCACATCTACAGAATACCTTTACAGACACACCTACATCAGCATTTGATTGAGTAATTGGGCACAATAGCCTAGCCAAGTTGACAGCTGACCAGCAGATGACTGGATATAGAGATTTTATGGAATACTACTCAACAATAAACAGGAAAAAACCTGACACAAGCAACAAGAGAGATAAACAAGTCTCAAACACATTTAATTCAGCAAAAGAGGGCAGACAAAAAGACCCTATGGTTCTACTTGTAGTGTGGGGTTCTGGAATAGTCGGTGCTAATCTGTAGTGTCAGGAAGCTGGCCTTTGCCTAATGCCAGTTAGGCATCGGTGAGGGGAGGAGACTGGCTTTAAAGGAAACAAGAAAACTTGGGGGAGTGATGGAAATGACCGTGGCGATGACTACACAGGTGTGCACATTTGTCAAAATTCAATTACACACGTCAGATGAGTTCACTTTTGCATATAAATTATTTTGCAATAAAGTTGACATGTAAAAAAAAAAAAAAGCTGATTCCTGCTTAGCACAGACCCAGTCAGGGTTTCGAAGGGATCTAATCCAGTTACACCGGCCAGCACCCCTCGTGGAGACGAGGATCCTTTCCCCGTCTACTACCTTCGCACCTGTGCTGAGAATCAGTGAAACTCAACGTAGGTGAGAAGCTTCTGGGACGGGAGTGAAGGAGGCGAGCGCCGGGGGGGCCCGGGCCGTCTCTGACTGCACCGCTGTTTGGTAAGGCGACTGGCTCTGGTCCAGTCACTGCACTGTCGACTCCGCACCAGCTGGTGCAGCCTCCTCCCCGTCACCTTCCTCATGCCCACCCCTTGCTGGCCGTGGGACAAAGCATCCTCCTGGAAACAGGGCTCTGCTTTCGGGAAACCACGGTCCTGGGGCGCACACTCAGTGGGAGGGAAAGGACACGAAGAAAGGCGAGGAGCACAAAGAAGTGAGAATGTTGCGGCTTCCTCCTGGGGGCAAAGCCTCTCCAAGCTGGGCAGCTCGCCGCGGTAGACCCCGGTTGAGTCCGGGTGTGGTCCGTGCCCCGCACCACCGCCTCACCAGGGAAGGGTTAGAAGGGCAAATGCGCTTGGCCACAGCCAGGCCTGCTCAAGGGAAACTGGCGGGGGACCAGTAGCACGTGCGTTTCAACAGGCGCTCCAGGTGCTTCCGAGACCCACAGGAGGACGGGATGGCAGACGGGGCGGGAGAGAAGGGCCTCTCCTTTAGGGCTGATGAGACACCATCCGTGCCCTTCGTAGGCCTCTTAACAGCTGCGGGGGGAGGACGGGATGACGCTGGCGTGAGAGCCCAGAGGGAGTGCTCCGAGGAAGGGCCCAGGGCGCGACCCGCACTCGCCGAGCAGCCAAGGTAAGGGCAGTCGGGGCCAGGGTGAGTGGGACCCGGAGGGCACGGCGCGCGCCTCCTCAGGTGCAGGGCGGGCAGTGGGCGGCCGCGCCTAGTCCCTCCCCGAGGCCTCTGCCCGGTCCTGGCCGAGCTCCGGGCCATCCTGGGCGGCCTGGCCTCACAGAGCCCCTCCGCAGCGCACCCCTGCTCCCAAAGCGCCATGCACCGCAGCCGCGCCGCCAGCACTGCCAGCACCGCCGACAGGGCAGCAACAGCCATGCTTTGGGGTGAGTGAGCACGGAGACCCCGGTGGAGCGTCCCCGAGGTGAGGAAGCCTGGAGGGAGGGGCGCCTTCCTTGAGCCCGCCCGCCCCTCCCTCCCAGGCTGTGAGCTAAACCAGGAGAAGCGCACCTGGACCTTCAAACCGCAGAAGGAGGGGAAGCAGGACTGTAAGGTGTTGCTGAGTACGGTGGGTGTCCCCCAAGGCCAGGAGCAGGGACTTGGCCAGCCACAGAGGAAGGGGTGGGGGAGTCTCTGGCCCTGGGGTGATGGGGTGCCCTACTGTTGTCAACCCTCTCAGATTTGCTTGGGGGAGAAAGCCAAGGAGGAGATTAACCTCGTGGAGATCCTGCCCCCAGCAAGCCAGGAGGACAAGAGGCCGAAGCCCATCACCATCGCCTCACTGCAAGCCTCCGTCCTGCCCACGGTGAGCCTTCCCTGCAGGCCCGGGGCTCTGCCTGCCCATCCCACCCCTGGGTGGGCACGGGGGTGGCCGTCTCGCATGGGACAGCCATGCAGGGAGGTGATGTAGCCCCCGACTCAAGGCCCCGGCCCTGCTTCCAGATCAGCCTACCCTTTACTAGGTAAGTTAAGTCACTTCTCTTCTAAATCACATTAAAAAAAAAGATTTTATTTATTTTTAGAAAGTGGGGAAGGGAGGGAGAAGGAGAGGGAGAGAAACGTCAATGTGCGAGATATAAATAGATTGGTTGCCTCCTGCACACCCCCTACAGGGGACCTGGCCTGCAACCCAGGCATGTGCCCTGACTGGGAATCGATCCGGTGACTTTCAGTTTGCAGGCCAGCACTGAATCCACTGAGCCACACCAGCTAGGGCAAAATCTCATTTTTTAACCGTTTACTGGTGGTGGCAGGACACTGTTGATGGCTTGCATACTGATTGTGTGTCCAGAAATTCTCTTATTTCCAATAATTTACCTCTTGAGGTTTCCATGAAGTCATCATTGTGAATAATGGCGGTTTGTGTGTCTTTTTTTAAATCCTACCCACCCTGGCTAGGGCTTCAGTATCACATCAGATAGAATGTCAGTGACAGATGCCGTCGTTTCCGTCCTGACTTCTTACAGGAGCGTGTCTAACGTTCCCTCATCAAGTGTGACAGGGTTGGTGACACTGTCTGTCAGCTTTGGAGTCCCCGTTCGGTCCTACTCTGCTTTTACAATTGGGGTTTTCTCTTTTTTAACATAAATGGTTATCAAATTCTTTTCCACTCAAATGATCTTGGGCTCTTTTCTTCTTTAATGTGTTAAGTGGTAAGTTATAGTAATCAAATAATATTCAGCCAACTTTGCATTCCTGAGATAAACACTCCTTGATCATATTATAAATTTCTAAATTTGCCTTATTCATATATTAAGACTTTTAAAAATTTATATACACTCATGAGTGAGGTTGCCCTGTAAATTCCTTATGTGGGTATCAAGGCACAGCAGCCTTGTGAACCGGGGGACGCAGTGCTCCTTCTTCTGTGGTGGAACTGTGAATATAAGACTATCTGTCCTTGAAAATCTGGGAGACTGACCTTGTAAAAGGACCCTCAAACGTACTTTTTCTCTCTGAGTCTCCCTAGAAGCTCATTCATTCCAAGTTTTATTTTTTTAAGACAATTGGAATTTTTAAGATGACTTTATTTATTTTTAGAGGGGGGGAAGGAGGGAGATAGAGAGGGAGAGAAATATCAATGTGTGGTTGCCTCTCATGCCTCTGCTATTGGGAACCTGGCCCACAACCCAGGCTTGTGCCCTCACTGGGAATCGAACTGGTGACCCTGTGGTTCGCAGGCTGGTACTTAGTTCACTGAGCCATACCAGCCAGGCTTTGTTCCTATGGTTTAGTTGGTTTTAGAGACCATCTATACAAAATAAATATTCTGCAATTTAGTTCTACGGACCCAACCTCTCTCGTGCTCCAGCTCCTTCGTTCAGTGGAACATATTTAAGAGCTATCCCAGACTTCACAAATCTAAATCTGAATTCTTGATTTTTATCTATAATCTCTTTCCTTACCCCAACCTGATCCCCTCCTAGTAAACAGTTGTTCAATCAGGATGAAACCTCCTTCTGCAGCAGCCCATATCTGACCCACCTGCAAACCCTAGTCTGACCTCAGCTCAGCGCCTCCCTGCTGCCCCCTGGCCCGGACAACTGTGGCTTCTTGCCCAGTTTTAGCACAGGGCCTCCTGACTGGTCTACCTGCCCTAGCCCTTGAACCCCTAGAGTCTAGTCCAGGGGTTGACAAACTAAAGAGTTAAATCCAGCCCACCGCCAGTTTTTGTCAGTAAAGTTTTATTGAAACACAGCCACACTCCTTCATTTACATAGTATCCATGGCTGTTTTCACTCAGTAACAGCAGAGTTAAGCATTCTCCACAGAGACCATATGATTTACAAACCTAAAATAGTTACCATCTGGCTCTTTACAGAAAAAGTTTCCTAATCTCTAGTCTATTCTATGCACAGCTGACAGAAAGGTTCTGTTCCACAAAAGTCAGGCTGTGTTGCTCCTCTGGTTAGGTCAATGGCTTCCCATTTCCCGCCCCCAGCACCCTCTCCGGCCTCCACCCATGCTCCTCTCCCCTCCCTGACCCTGCCCAAACCCCACTGGCTTCCCTGACTATACCTTAACAACTCCTGACGTACTCATCTTCGGAGTCCTCGCATTCATTGTTCCCCGTGTCGGACACACGCCTGTCCCCCACTTCCAACTGGTCTTTGTTCCAATGCCATCTCATTGAAGAGGTCTTCCCTGGCCGCCCACAGCATCCCCTCTGGCTTCCCAACCCATAATCACTTTTCCCTGCGTAGAACCCATCCACCAGCACGTCAGTGCTGTACTCTTGCTCCCTCCCCAGGATGTAAGCTCCAAGAGAGCGAGGACTGGGACCTGGCCTGTTTTGCCCCCTGCATTTTCCACACTGCCTGCATAACTGTGCCCGGTAGACTGCAGGCCCTCCATGTACAATGAAGGAGTGAGTCAATAAGCAGATGGACTATGTGGGACTGGTTCAACTCTAAGTTATTGTGATTTATTTAATAGTTTTTGATCGACTTAGATGTTTCTACTTGAGTGAGTTTTTACCAGCTCTATCTATTGAAATGTGATTTAGAACAAGACTCACCAACGTTCAGTGTACAACTTGCTACATTTGACAAGTGCATGTAATTGTGTGACCACCACTGCAGTGAAGCCTCTTGGCAGTCCCCCCCTGTCACCTCACAGCCTGGCACCGCTGGCCTACTTCCTGTCACTACAGTCTTACCTTTTCTAGAATTCATTCAAACAGAAGCATGCAACACGTCGTCTCTTGTGCTCAGCTTTTTCCACTTAGCATAATGCTTTTGAGATTTATCCATGTTATTGGCAAGATAACAGTGTGCTCTTTTTTATATCTGAGTAATATCCATTCTGTGAATATATGCTTATATAAAGACTGTTTATTCATTCACTTATTAATGTACATCGGAGTGGTTTCCAGTATTGTACTACTATGGATAAAGCAGCTATGAACACTGAAGAGTATTTTTAAGTCTATTTTATTGATTATGCTATTACAGTTTTCCCGATTTTTCTCCCTTTATCCCCCCTCCATGCTGCACCCTGCAACCCTCCAGCATTTCTCCACCTTAGTTCATGTCCATGGGTTGTACCTTCAAGTTCTTTGACTTCTGTTTCCTATACCATTCTTCACCTCTCCCTGTCTATTTTATGCCTACCGATTATGCTTCTTCTTCCCTGTACCTTTTCCTCCATTCATCCCCTCCCCCTCCCCACTGAAAACCCTCCATGTGATCTCCATTTCTCTCATTCTGTCCCTGTTCTGGTTGTTTGCTTAGTATTTGTTTTCATTGTTGGGTGTTTTTTTTAGGTCCATTTGTTGATAGTTGTGAGTTTGTTGTCATTTTACTGTTCGTAGTTTTTTATCTTTTTCAATTTCTTAGATAAGTAACTTTAAGATTTCATATAATAAAGGCTTGGTGATGATGAACTCCTTTAACTTGACCTTATCTGGGAAGCACTTTATCTGCCCTTCCATTCTAAATGAAAGCTTTGCTGGATAGAGCAATCTTGGATGTAGGTCCTTGCCTTTCATGACTTGGAATACTTCTTTCCAGCCCCTTCTTACCTGTAAGGTCTCTTTTGAAAAATCAGCTGACAGCCTGATGGGAACTCCTTTGTAGGTAACTGTCTCCTTTCCTCTTGCTGATTTTAATATTCTCTCTTTATCTTTAATCTTGGGTAACTTAATGATGATGTGCCTTGGTGTGTTCCTCTTTGGGTCCAACTTCTTTGTACTTCTTTGGGCTTCCTGGACTTCCTGGAAGTCTATTTTCTTCGCCAGATTGGGGAAGTTTTCCTTCATTATTTGTTCAAATAAGTTTTCCATTTTTTGCTCTTGTTCTTCACTTTCCGGCACTCCTATAATTTGGATATTGGAAACATTTAAAGTTGTCCCAGAGGTTCCTAAACCTCTCCTCATTTTTTTGAATTCTTGTTTCTTCATTCTGTTCCGGTTGGATGTTTATTTCTTCCTTTTGTTCCAAATCGTTGCTCTGAGTCCTGGCTTCCTTCCTGTCACTGTTGGTTCCCTGAATGTTTTGCTTTATTTCACTTCGGGTATCCTTCATTTGTTCCTTCATTTTGTGACCAAGCTTAATCAGTTCTGTGAGCATCCTGATTACCAGTGTTTTGAACTCTCCATCAGATAGGTTGGCTATCTCCTCATCACTTAGCTCTTTTACTGGAGTTTTGCTCTGTTCTTTCATTTTGGCCATAGTACTTTGTCTCAGCGCACCTGTTACATGGTAAGGGGTGGGGCCTTAGGTATTCTCCAGGGCAGGGCAGCCCTTTTTGCTGTGTTGTGGTGCTATCAGTTTGCTTGGTCTGGTTGGCTGTTTCTTTAATTCCTTGGTTGTTGGAGTTCCATGCGGTTTGATTTTCTGGCACTTCCAGTTGTTTATTGGTTTTAGATTGATCGTTATCCTCCTTTTGGTTGTGTTAAGAAACATAGGGTTTCTACTCCTCCATCTTGGCCAGAACTCAATAAATAGTCTAGGTATTTGTATGGACATATTTTTCATTCCTCTTGAGTATAAATACCTAGGGTGGGATTGCTGTATCATTTAGCAAATGTATGTTAAACTGTACAAAACTGCCAACCTGTTTGCCAAATTGCATTCCTCCCAGCAACGCATGAGAGTTATGTTGCTCCGCATCCTCACCACCGTCAGCCTTACTCTTAGCCATTCCGGTGTCTGAATAGTGGTGTCTCACTGTGATGCCTTTAAAGTTACATTTCCTCAGTGCCTAGTGATGCTGACCATTTTTTTGTTTTGTTTTGTTTTGGTCATTTGTATATCTTCTTTTGCAAAAATGCCTGTTTTGATTATTTTACCCATTTTAAAATTA